AGTTTAGACAGGGTTTAATTTCTCAGTTTAGACAGGGTTTAATTTCCCAGTTTAGACAGGGTTTAACTTCTCAGGGTTTAGACAGGTTTAATTTCTCGGTTTAGACAGTTTAATTTCTCAGTTTAGACAGGGTTTAATTTCCCAGTTTAGACAGGATTTAATTTCCCAGTTTAGACAGGGTTTAATTTCCCAGTTTAGACAGGGTTTAATTTCCCAGTTTAGACAGGGTTTAATTTCGCAGTTTAGACAGGGTTTAATTTCTCAGTTTAGACAGGGTTTAATTTCTCAGTTTAGACAGGGTTTAATTTCCCAGTTTAGACAGGGTTTAATTTCCCAGTTTAGACAGGGTTTAATTTCCCAGTTTAGACAGGGTTTAATTTCCCAGTTTAGACAGGGTTTAATTTCTCAGTTTAGACAGGGTTTGGTTGGTTTAGACAGGGTTTAATTTCTCAGTTTAGACAGGGTTTAATTTCTCAGTTTAGACAGGGTTTAATTTCTCAGTTTAGACAGGGTTTAATTTCCCAGTTTAGACAGGGTTTAATTTCCCAGTTTAGACAGGGTTTAATTTCTCAGTTTAGACAGGGTTTAATTTCTCAGTTTAGACAGGGTTTAATTTCTCAGTTTAGACAGGGTTTAATTTCTCAGTATAGACAGGGTTTAATTTCTCAGTTTAGACAGGGCTTGGTTAGTTTAGACAGGGTTTAATTTCCCAGTTTAGACAGGGTTTAATTTCCCAGTTTAGACAGGGTTTAATTTCCCAGTTTAGACAGGGTTTAATTTCTCAGTTTAGACAGGGTTTAATTTGTCAGTTTAGACAGGGTTTAATTGCTCAGTTTAGACAGGGTTTAGTTGGTTTAGACAGGGTTTAATTTCCCAGTTTAGACAGGGTTTAATTTCTCAGTTTAGACAGGGTTTAATTTCTCAGTTTAGACAGGGTTTAGTTGGTTTAGACAGGGTTTAATTTCTCAGTTTAGACAGGATTTAATTTCTCAGTTTAGACAGGGTTTAATTTCTCAGTTTAGA